TTATATACACTAATTATATCCATATATGTGTCATTATACGCTTTATAGGATCCGTTTGTGCTCAAGACTTCACTTGACACTTAGCATCCTATATCGATCTTTCATTCGGATCACTCACTACAGGTGAGTTCGTACCCCTAACTTATCTTTTAAATGATTTTAAATGCTTTTATGGGGGGGGGGGGGGGAATACAAGTAGAAAACATTATAGTTATTATATCAATCACATGTGATTAATAACTGTCAATATAGTAGATTTCTTATTCTTCAAAACTGTGTTATCAAACTGTTTCAAATGCCTTTTTATAAACTGACATCAAGTCATCTATAGCCATTCAAATGGTTAAAACTCTTTTATATGTTAAATTCTTTATGAAACTCTTTTAAACTTATATATTATCAAAATCATGTATATATGGATATAGTTGTATAAATAAGGTTGAAAGGGCTTAGGACTGATAACTCGCCTTACTTCCCGTTCCTTGTTTTGTTGTGGACTTAGGGTATCGGTTGTTTGTCCGAATGTCGTTTGAATCTTAGTTATATATTATGTATATGTATATAGATATAAAAGTCCTTTTATTCAGTTCAATACCTTTGGGTAGCAAAGCTGTTCAAACATAATCAGTCATTCAAACAACGTTACTAGTAAACTATAATAGGTATAGTTTAGGATGTCACTACTTACTATTTCTAGAAAAATGAAACATACAAGAGTCAGTTCATACATGAGTCAGTTCAAACATACTATAAAGAGAACAGAGAGAACATACTATACACTAGAACAGAGAAAACATACTATACAAATACATGAATACTATAACATTTATGTGAGCCACTACTTCATGACACAACAATATACTGTTGTGCCACGTTTTGTAACCAGAGTCTCCTGGAGGGAGAGCGTGAATTTGTGTATAGATCTATACGGGATTGACCATCCTACACCTTGCTGCTAGCTACAGTGGAACCTGCAGGTCTACGGGTGACGAATGTCATACCGTTTTGACGTCTTTGATCGTCGTGTTTTACTATTCAATAAAGTATGGTTACAATCATATCACATTTTACCTTAATAAAACAAACAGGTTTAAGGTAGTTAGTACATCGTTAGTTACTTATATACAATAATACTATACATCGTCATTTTCCCATTACATTTATATTGTGATTTTCTCACATAAACGGTAATGTAAATTATATTTTGATAATGATAGTCATACTTGGGAAAAACACTCACTTTTACAAAAAGAACAAACTTACAAAACAGTCGAGTCTTGGTAGAAGGATACTTTAGTAGAAAATATAGGATTTTCTAGGAAGTATTCAAACATTTACAACAAACACTTACAAACTTTTACATCAAACATTTACAAACACTTTCATCAAACTTATACAAACAATGACATTAAAATACTTATGAACTCACTAATGTTGATCTACGCTTTGAAAATTACTTGTATTCTCAGGTCACCAGTAGACAGGTACCAATGACCAGGTTTTGAGAAGACGGAGCACGTTCAAGACTCGTCTTTTATTTTGATTCGTATTTTGGTGTCTTTTAAACTACACAACACACTTGTATTAAATTATACTATTAATGAAATGGAAGATGTTGTTGCTTGTTTTACTATTATGCATTGTTATGATACTGTACATGACGTCCTCCGCCCCCGAACGTTTCCGCCGTTCTGGTTTGGGGGTGCGACAGATAGATTGACCAGTGAGACAAACGAGGGAGCCTACAAGATACATTAAAGTTACTTATCGTCTAGAATTGTGGCTCAACATTTCTTCGATGTACGAACTTATGTCCTTAATTCTGGTGCTGATAGGGTGACGCGGGGGGGGGGGGGGGGGGGGGGGGGGGGGGGGGGGGGGGGGGGGGGGGGGGGGGGGTTCTGATAAAGTATGTATGTGTGAAATTGTTTTTCTTTCTTATCCTCTCTGTCAGTCATATGTTGTCCCTTTTGCGTGATCGGAAGATCCGACCTGGGAAGCAACATATGCACCTCTATTTCTATACATCTCTATCTATGCTTTTCTCTATCTATCTATGTCATTCATATGTTGTCCCCTCTGCGTGATCGGAAGATTCGACCTGGGACACATCATATGCACCTTTTTATCTCTCTAACCCTCTATCTATGTTAGTTATATGTTGTCCCTCTGCGTGATTGGAAGACATCGGACATGGGATACAACATATGCATTTTTATATCTAACTTCTCTCTCAAATAATTAAGCACTCACCTAAAGTAAAGAGCTCTTTGGAATTCCTTGATTGCTAGGGTATGTCGTGAAATGGGGAACACGTTCTAGTGCACTTAAAATTGAATTAACTAAATGTTGTCTGTAGATCTCGTTGCTGAATTTAAGTGGACAACAATATCATTGGTCGTCGTCAGCAAAATGGTCTATTTAGGAATATAGGTGCAATGTCTTGTCACTTATAATTTGTCCAATTTGTCAATATCCTTTGTGTTTAAGTGGACCATAATATTGGTGATTGACCAGAGCTAAACATACAGGTGTGTGCTGATAAACGATATTGAATTGTTTGACAATTTTTGATCCCAAAAGTTTCTGTTTTGTACATTTTGTATTTTACTTTTGTTTTTGTTAAATTTGTTCATACTTTTCCTCTATGCACAAATTTAGGGGGAGAATTAAAAAAAACAAAACAAAAATTCATAAAAAATCAAAAATACAAAAAATATGTTTATTTATATTTTTATTACCTTTTCAGAAAAATAAAAAAAAATCCAAAAATATTGTTTTTGAGCGTATTTTAATTTTAATTTTATTTCTTAGTTGTTTTATCGTGTGCTAATTTTATTTTTATTTTTGTTTTTATCTCAAAATTTCTTTTGTCTTGAAACGTAAATTCAAAAGAAGAAGAGATTCAAGGAAACTGTATCGGAATTTTTTGAGCAAGGAGGAGAAACTTGGAAAGGAGTTGATGGTCATTACACTTCACACTACTTTCATAAGGAATTAAAGTCATGAAACTGTACAGATTGTCAAAGTTGGTCTTGTCAGTTATCTTTACTTAAGAACTGTCGTGGCACCACGACGATTCACCCAATCAGGAAATAGATATTGTTGAACGTCTCACCAATGGCCAAGTTAACTTGTTGACTTGAAAAACTATATTGAGATCTTTGATCAAGGATATGCATGGGCTAACAGCAAAATAGCCACGCGTAGTTCTCCGATACTCAACAAATCGCAGTGCGTTCCTCCGTGTTCACATAGATACTATGAGTAGTCTCCATCTGAGCCAAGTCTGGGTCCTTGAAAAACTATGGTGAGAAGGGTCTTTATGACTCTGTGATCCACATGGACTTTTTAGTCAGGGTTACTTTTTAAGACACACCCGTGATTGTTAAAGAACATTCATTCGAAGGAACTAGAAGTGAATATTATCATGCAACACATCTTTCAACCCCAGAAGCAAGGTGAAGTTGTATTTGAAGTTATGTGACGAATTTCATTGAAGCCTCCTCAATCAATTTTCTGCTATCTATAAACCTGTTGATGTGATACGGAAGAATCGGTCTCTCTGAAATTATCTCTGGAGTATTTCAAAGCGGAAAGTGCTGATTTACAAGAACCTATACAAGAAGCCTCTATACCCAATGTGTGTTCAAAGTCAAATTTTGAAGGAAGTCCAAGTACTAAGGATGAAGTTATTCATGTAGAAGATTCATATATACATCTTGTAGTCAAGTTGTGAAGAAATCGAGGAAAAAGATGAAAGTCAAGATCAAATAGGAGATTGAAAAGAAAAGAAAGCTATAAACCAAAGGGGAGATTGTTAGGACATAAATTTGTGGTTTATACTTTGCTTTTCATAGCTTTTAGAGTTCTCGATCTAAGTACTGAAAACTCCATGGTTTCGGTGTTGTGTGTACCGAAATCTCTTAATGATTTTGGTTGGGCTTGGGGATGGGCTTTGTATTAGATCTAGGTATATATTGTTTTGTTTAATACATGTAAAGGGGATTCTATTCTAGCTATATCGAGATCTAGAGAGACAAAGAGAGAACCGAGAGAATTTTGTGTATCTTATGTACCAGACTATTGATTAATAATAGTGTGCATTGAAGATTCGTGTTTGTGTTCTTATTCCATATTATCAATTTGTGTTACTCACTGGATTGGGATTCTACACCAACTCTAGTGAAATCGATTGATACGTTAAGATTGGGTTTTACAGCTTGCCGGAAACTCGCAGGTCTAGACAACGATGTGAGAAAATCGTATATCTGGACGAGATCTAGACGGTGATGGTGGCGGAAAACATAGATCTGCACCAGAGCTCGCAGATCTAGATGACGGTGGTGGTGGAAATCGTAAATCCGGACTGTAGAGCTTCAGATCTGAGATCATACATACCAGATCTAACATGAAACGTTATAGGAGGAGGCAATAATGGAGGTATTCGATTATGTAGGTGATCACGTGGAAGAGGTAGGCTCGTCGGGGTTGTAGGGTCGCCGTCGGCAGTTGTGGTGATGGTAGTTTGCAACTTTGCATCACAGGTGGTATAAGGAGATAAGAGACATGGGTTTGTTCTTGGACAATATTGAAAGAAGAGAGTAATCTGTTTTGTATTATATCTAAGTTTATCAAATGTAAGTTTAGATCTGATGGAATAAAATATGAAATTAGGTTCAACTTTTGTATTATTTACAATAATGTCATTTCTTTTTTTGGATATTGATACACAAAAATGGTTCTTATGGTTCTTAATATTTTTTTATTCTCATTTGAACCTTTATATATATATATATATATATATATATATATATATATATATATATATATATAGAGAGAGAGTTAGATTCATATATAAACTGTAAGTATTGTGTGACCGTATGACCAACTCTGGACCAACCGTTCATTTAAGGGCAAATTAGACAATTTACATAATATCAATAAATTCCTATTGATTAATTAATAGATTACCTAAATTAAAAACATATATTTGTGGAATTAAACCTACAGAACTTTCGATTTTCCCTTATTCCCTTTTACAAATTAAACACATTCAATCGTCTAAGGTTTGATTGATTGCATTACATCGCACCTTCTTCATACTTAATTTCATTCTAATCTCTTCATTTTCTTGTCCAATTCATCAAAAACAAGCCCTTTCTCTTATTCAAATCCACCATCATAACCATCTTTTAATTCCAAAAATGATCCCAGCTTCGATGATTACGTTCTATTCGAAAGAATGAGTCTCACATCCGATTGTTGTTTCCAGGACTACGTAATAGCATTTACTCGATAACCCAATAAATTCTTTCCACCTGGGTGTTGTCATTCCTCAATGATATCCTGAATCCCCTTTTTAAAATCCGGTCAATGAAGCTACTTATCTCATTGAATTCGTTGGTGAGATTCAGAAATTGTAACTTAAAATGGTGCATAAATCTGCTTCGGCGCCGTTTCTGGTGAACAGATATCGGGGAATGATTTGATGACGGATGATATGATTTCGTGGAACAAGAGCGGCAATAGATTTATTGTTTGGAAAACTACTGATTTCACTAGGGATTTGCTTCCTAATTCCTTCAAATACAACGATTTTTCCAGATTTGTTCGTCATCTTAATACTTATGTAAGCAATTTCATTTGATTAATTAGTTTTTCCTTCATTCCTTACATTTGAATCATTATTCTTTCCAATTACCGGTCAATCCTCATAATTTTTTCTGATTCATTTGTGTGTTCTTTGTTCGTGTGGGGTATGTTGTTTGGGGATCTTATTGGCGCATGATATTCTTTTTTCGTGATTAGCCTATGTGCAGGTGCTGTATTGAAGTGTCTTGTATTGTCTATCTTGGTGAAAGGATTTGATCAGAAGCTCTGACTGATTCCTTCATACTGATGTTGCACATAGTGAATTTGGGTTGTTGCTGCGGGTGACCCTTGTTGTTGAGGTAAACTGTATTGGAGACTCATTTCTTTTTGCACATGGTTTGTTGGACTAGAAGCAATGCACATTGCCATTTGATTTTTTGGTAGTATATGGCATATTTATTAATATATGGGAGGAGTATTAGAAGGCTTTTGCTGGAGGCACTTTTGGAATATATTTTATAGAAAAAAAAGAATATAAACAGATTTTTTTAGAGTTGGTGATGAGCAAAAATTGGAATTGGGTTAATGAAAATTAAGGTTCATGGGTCAAATTGGAAATTCGATGAAGGTACAATATAATTTGGTTGGTGCATTTTCTTAATTTGGAGGGGTGCTCTAGAGTTCTTTTTATGTTCTTGAGATATATTACTAAGTATTGGGATGATAAAAAGTGTACTGGAAAGATGGTTAGTGTGGTTGGTTTTGGTCAAAGTTCATCCTCATTTTTTAAATGCATTACAAAGTTTGGTTGTTGTGTTTGTTTTTTTTTTAAAGTTGAGAGCTCCTTATTTTTTTGCAAAATGCAAAGGTTGGCTTGATTCAAGTGTGAAGTCTCGTGAACAGTAATTAAAGTTGAGAGCTCCTTATTTTCATGGAAATATTTCTCGTGAACAGTAATTATGTGATTCTAACAAGTCATGACGGTTCAGAAAATCTTAAAGAACACAAAAATAATTCTATGAGATATTGCACACCAGGTGTTTGTAGAAATGTCTGAAAGAGAACTTTATGTTCAAATTCTTGAAGAACACAAAAATAATTTATGATTTCGTTATTTGTGTTACTTGATTTTATCATGTTGTATGAGTTCTCTTAGAATTACTAAAATTTGTTTTATTTTTGTCGTATAAAAACATTCTCACATAAGTTTATTCTTACATAATTCATTTTCATGACAGTTATTCTCATAGAATGAATGAAGTACACGATGATCAATGACCCGAAGGTTGGATGAATGCGTGTGGGATAGACATGAACAATCCTCAATGGTCACCGATCTTCCAGAAAAATGCACTACTCATTGTCATATTCTGTTAGATTAATCTATAATAGAATGATAAGAGTATATGTAATAGTATATTCCAATAGAATAATCTACATATTATATTTGTTTGTTATTAGGGAGTGTTTCATTATTATAGAATAAAATAAAAAGTTTTTTATTTTTTCAAGGATGTGATAGAAAAAATTTAACTTGTATCTAAAAATTTGTTTATTCTGCCAGAAGTAAGTCTCTTTATTAGTTTATGGCTTGCATTTTCATAGAATATCATTATAAAAAGAATGTCATTCTGACAGAATAAAATCGGGTTTAATTATAAAAATTACGTTATAATTAAAATTAAAGTAATTAAAAAAAATTAAAATTTTAAAACCAAAAGAGTTAATTATCCCAAAAAATATGGAATTTTCCTTTTTTAAATTTATCTCAATTGTTTAAAATACCCTTAGAATGAAATTATATGATATTTTTCAATTATCTTTAATTTAATAATATGTATTAATCATTTTCTTAAAATAAGTAAAATGATTGGCACACATTTATGCATACAATAACACAATAATTACTTTGAATAGTATAACCTAAGCTTTTATATATATATATATATATATATATATATATATATATATATATATATATATATTTGATGCTTGCGAAAAACTTTGTGGTATCTTGATATGTCTATTTAGATTTTCGTCTTTTTATTGTGTGCTACATTCAACTGGTTGCTATTTTGTTCTATGTTACCGTTGACACACGAAACATTTAAATGATAAATGATTGATAATGAAAAGGTTGACTAATTCCAAAGTCAAACGCCTTATCCCTCACTTGTGGACAATGAGAAAAGATATTCCATGCACATTGGTTATTAGATATTTAATTATTAAAAAGAATTTAAGATATAATAATTATATTATAGTAAACCCCATTATAATATTACATTAATACATTTCACATGAGATCTAATATTGTTCCGTTTGTATTAAGATTGTAGTGTAAATTACAGTTTTGGCTTTTATTTTTTATTTTGTAGTATCGGTATATTTTTAATTTTTACATGTCATTATGGTAAGCAACACATCATTGGTTACTGGTCTATGTAAAAAGACCATATATATTTTAATAACAAACAGCCATTCCATCGATGGCAAAAAAACACAAACCCGACGGGGAAACCTGAAACCCGAGCATTTCGGGTCGGGTAATGAGTCGTTATCGGTTTCGGGACAATAAATGGGTTATCCTTGCCCCGACCCGTCTCGCCCCGATTTTATATATATATATATATATATATATATATATATATATATATATATATATATATGTGTGTGTGTGTTTATGTGTGTGTGTGTGTGCGCGCGCGTGTTCAAATCTGTTTGATATTAATTGTATGCATTCAAAGATAAGAGTACTTGGGGACAATCATTTTAATTATTAACAATCTCGTGTAATTATCTTTTTTTATGTTTTGACACAAAAGGAAGCTAGTACATGTATTTTTTTAATAATGTAATTTTTTATTATATTTTTTATAAGACACGGGGTACCCTAAATTGGAACAAAGATTTCGTTGAATTGTTGTAAACTTGATAAGATATCCGAAACGCGACGGGAAAACCCGAAACCCGTTGGGGCGCCCCGATAAGATACCCGAAAGATATCGGGGCGGTTTTGGGAAACCATGCCCCGTCCCGAACCTTCCTCGTTATCATTCATACATCCCATACTATCTTACTCTACACATCTCTCTCTCTCTCTCTCTCTCTCCCTATCTATCTATCTATCTCTCTTTCTCTCTCTCTCTCTCTCTCTCTCTCTCTCTCTCTCTCTCTCTCCTACATATACACAACTCACTGGGAATTTAAAAAAAAATCTCCACCCATATATCTTCTAGTGTTGATGTTCTTTCTTTCATACATTGTAATTCTCTCTCTTAAAGTAAAAGCTTTAACTCCGTGAACTTAATAAAGAATAAGATTGCCTTAAAACTTATGAAACCAACAATTGAAGTTTCAACCAGAAAATGAGCATGTATGTATCATTCTCAAAATTTCCACATATCAAGTAGGTTTGGTAATTACAATTCAAGATCAAACATCTCTAGTAATGGTAGAAATAGAAGGTTAGACCCATAAAATGAACAAGTCTCTCTCCCTTTCAAAATCTCCACGTCTCAAGTGGGTTTGAGGATGACAAGTAAAGATCAGATGTCTCAGGTAATGGCATAAACTGAAGCTTGATCGCACAAAACAAACATGTCTCTCTCGCTCTCAAAATCTGCACTTCTCAAGTTTGAACCCAGAAAAAGCCCTACACACTTGAGAATTTTGTTATGTTAGGATTCATTGTTGACTTGAGGTGTTTGCTATTACTAAAGAAGCCCCATGTCTATTAGCTTAAAATATCATATTTGCTTCACATTTAACAACAAGTCTGAATTATGATATACCATGTCGAAGGAAAGCAGAATAATAGAAAAATTGATGTTTATATAACTTGCATATGTTTTTATTGAAGTAAAAACTAACACCCAAAACATCAAACTCAGTTGTAGTATAGGACCTAGCAACTGGTTTTATACTAAACTAAACATATTAGCATTTAACTAGGATTTTAGATAGATAAACGCATAAACCTTCCATATAACAATTTCCTTATTACCCAAGGAAAAATTGGAAGACTTGGACAACACTCCAAGGAAACATCTTCTAAATTGGATCACACATTCTAAACACTTCCAACTTAGAATATTCACCAACAATCACCCCCTAAATTTCAGATTCAAGGGTAATTGTTTCATGTTGCTTAGCTCTCATCTTTGTGAACCTTATCCGAGCTAAGGCCTTCGTAAGTGGATCTACTCGTTGCTTGTCTCCCGAAACATGTTAAACAATCACTTGCTTGTTTTCAACACGATATCGAATGGAGTGGAATAGAGTGTGGATATGTTTGCTTCCTCCTTGAAAGACATGATTCGTTGACAGTGTAATTACTAATTTTGTAGTCTATTCGAATCAGCACCTTCTGTTTCTTCATTTCTGTCAGCTCAGCTACCAAATCCCTTAACTAAGCTGTCTGACACGCATCTACAGTAGCTGCCATGAACTCAGCTTCACACGAGTACAAAGCTATTGTATCTTGTTTCTGGGAGCACCAAGTGCTACATGAGTCACCAAGGTAGAATACATGCCCTGTTGTACTTCTGCCATCATCAACATCTACATTGTAACTGCTATCACTGTAACCTAGCAATCTTAAATCTTTACTTCCTTTGTATATTATTCCATAAGATGTTGTACCGCGCGAGTAATGGAGAATTTGCTTAATAGCACGTGCATGAGATTCTCTTGGACTTTGCATATAATAAGTAACTACTCCAACCAAATATGTTAAATCTGGACGAGTGTGTAAGAGATATCGTAAACAACTCGCTATTTTTCGACAATGGGTAGCTACAACTTCTGGTTCATCTTCAACTTTTGACAACCTTAGTCCCAGCTCCATCAAACATTAGGTTGCATTACACCCTTGCATTCTAGCCTCTTTTAGAATCTTCATAGCATAACTCTCATGCTTCACCTTTACACAACAATTTTCTTCCAATACTTCAATTTCCAAGTAGCAAGTTAGTTAACCAAGGACCGACATTTCAAATTGTAACGCCATCAATTTCTTGAATTGGTTTATGACCTCTACACTTGTTCCCATCACGAATAAATCATCTACATAAACCACAACAATTATATATTCTCCACCAATTACATGCATCGTTGAAAACCCATATTTTTCAAAGTATTATTAAGTTTCAAATTCCATTCTCTTGGAGATTGTCGAAGACCGTATAAAGCTTTTGCCAATTTGTATATTTTTGTTTCTTTACCTTTCTTTACAAAACTTTTTGGTTGGCTAACATACACTTCTTCTTTTAAGTCAACATATAAAAATGCCATTTTTACGTCCAACTGATGAATCTTCCATCAAAATCAATTCCTTGCTCTTGTACATATCCTTTAGCCACTAGACGTGCTTTTTACCTTGTAATTGATCAACTCCTATTTCTTTTAACTTTATACAAAGATCTTAAACCTAGAGGATTAGCATCTTTAGGATGGAGGACAAGTTTGAAGGGTTTTGAGCATTCTAACACTCCTAAGGTGTACATGCAACCCTAGAAACCTTGGATCTATGTTTTCACTAAGATACATGCAAATAATAATCATTTCCAAGGTTTACATCCTAACTAGCATGGCATGGGGAACTTGAATCATAAAATGCTAGAATAATTACATACCTTTTAGTAGTGGTTGATTCATTGGAGTTTGAGAGCCTAGCACCAATAATGTGGATGCCTCAAATGGAAATCACAAATCACCACAAACTTTGGAAAACTATGAGAGAGTATGTATGCACTCTAGAAATCGGCCACCTTGCTCACACACACACTAGTGCCAAATCAAGTGCCAAGGACTCCTTATATAGTATGGAGGATTAGGGTTACATTCCATGTAAACCCTAATACCCATGACTCTTCCTTTCCAAGGATCCATGGGTTAAAAGCTCCATGGACTATCCATGGACTCCCATGCAAGCCTAGCCCATTCCAAATGAGTATTAATTAGCCCACACTATATAACTACAAGAGCCCGTATTTAATTAGTCACCTTTTTTATCACCAAATTAATTCTAAATTAATTTAAGATCAATGCTAATTAAATAATATGATTTCATATTAATATATTATTACTTATAATATATTAATAAATCATAAACATACAATTCTCAAAGGATTATCCATACAAATAGTTCGGGTGAAGTGCAACCCAAATGGACCATGCCGAGTCGGGTCAAGTATATACCAAATAAAGTTATGGACTTAGACACCTTATCCAATAGTCTCCTACTTGGATAAGTCTAATAACTATATTTGCCTATATGACTTCAGGAACCAACCGACAATCGTAGCTCTTAAAACTCTGTTGAACTATGAAGCGCCATTTTAGATAAGTGATCATATAGTCCTCTGTTCTGAAGATATCAGCCGGACAAATACATGGAACAATGTCATACTTATAGTCCAGCAGTTTGTTTCCCGATTTCCGATTTGTTTGACATAGAACTAAAC